ATTTAATGAATTAATTAATTATATTTATATTGTTATTTATATTATTTATTATATAAAAAGATGAATAAACAAACAATATTTATTCATCTTTCTTTTTGTTATAAGAAGGAAAGAAAAGAAAAGTTTTTCTTTGTTTACTTTTTTTTCTTCTTATTTAATTAAATAAACATTTTTTCTTTCTTTAGTTTGTCAATAATATAAAAAAAAAAGAAAAAATTATAATTTTTTATTTCTTCTTTTGCGGTGTATAGGCAGCTATAATAAAGTTATATATTTATAATTAATGGGGCTGTACATGTATTACCAATCATTATATTCACTTATATATTATCATTTAAATACAAACTTAATTATTATAATTATATTTAACAGTAATTATATAATAATAATAGCTTATTATTATTATTATTATTATTATTTTTATTTTTATTATAATTATTGCTTTCTTAGTTCAAGGAGTGTAGCCGTTGTGTTGATAGCGCCAGAAGCAGAAATCAGTAAGCGGGGAGAAGGAGAAGGAAAATTAGAGTTGTTCTCTGCTATTTAATAAACCAATACATAAATTAGATAAATAAATTAAACAAAAAATAAATATATAAATTTTGTTTTATTTTACTACTACTTATGTAGGCAAAGAAAATTAACGGGTGCTCTCGGGTGTATCGACAGCCGACCACCACCCCTCTATACGGCTGCCAACTAGCAGGAGGGGAAATTAGCGGAGAAATTTAAATATGTTGCGAATTAAATATATTTATAATTAAATAAATATAAATAAATTCATAAAAATTGATTAATAAATCATTTAATTTGCCATAATATTATTTTTTTTTTGCCTTTTCCCCCTCCGCCCTGTGTGAGGTTGCATGCATGCATGCATGCATGCAGAGAATCACCAGTAACACTTTTTCTTTTTTCTTCGTTAATTTCATTGTTTATTTTATTTAATAAAATGTTATATATTTAAAATGAATATTTAAAGAGGAAAATAAAGAAATGGAGGTCTTTTTCTTCTTTTTGCCGTCCTTTTTTCTTCCTCACTTATACAAAAAATGCCTTTTTGCCATACAAAATTTGTATTGAAATGAAGCCAAGAAATGCATTTATATAAAAATAAATAAAAAGGGAAGAAAATAAATAAAAATGTTTTTTTTATTGGGGTGTACAGACACCTCAAAGAGGAGACTAAAGGGGAAAAGTGTTATAAAGTCCTTCATTTATTTTTTTTCTGTTTTGTTTATTATATATTTCTTCTTTATAATAAATATTAACGCTAAAGTATTTATTTTTTCTCCCTTTTTTTCTTTTTTTTCTTCTCCTTCTTCTTATAATTCTTCTTCTGTAGGTTTTATTAATAATAATAATAATAATAATAATATAATTAATTCATCAATAAGAAGAAAATATATTTATAAATCCCCTTTTGTTAATTCCTTTTCTTATAATATATTAAGAGAAAAAGAAATAAATAAAAAAAAAGAAAAAAATAATTTATTCGCTCTCTTAGATTCAACTCCTTCTCTCCCCATTAACCATCAAAATAATTCCCCAGTAAGTACAAAATAAATAAATAAATAAATAAATAAATAAATAAATAAATAAATAAACAAATAAATAATAAATAATAGTATATTTTATATGTATTAAA